TCTATAATATTTCCCCCTTTTATCATGTGAAGAATAATTTTCTAATGTTCCCCGTGGGTTGCTCCAGAGACTTTTTAAAGATTGGAGTTCCCCCACATTTTATCTAAAGGTCACTTTTCTTATTCTCTGTTTTCACTTTGTCCGCTTCTAATCTGTTCTCCGCAGTGCAATAGGAGTATCAATCTACTATGTCAAGCCTTCAGTGGTTCTTGACATAATCTTGATGGAGTTGAGGCCCTGTGTGGCCTCACCTCTTCTCTGTCTCACCAGCCTGATCATCAAATTCTACTCTCCAAGACATAATATCGATTAGAATAAGGATGCTTTCAATTACAAGAAACAAACAGAAAAACCCAATTCAAAATTATTAAATTATACAAAACAAAAAGTGTGGAGTTTGGAGGCTTCTGGGTTGGTTAATTCGGGGGCTCACTGGTAACACTGAGGAACCAGGTTTCCCCATCCTTCCGCTTTCACTTTCCTTGGGATACCGGTTTGGTTTTCCAGGACGGCTCTTGCTAAAGGCAGCTGCAGTAATTTATTCTGTGTTTCTGCTTATCAATAAGGAGACCTTTCCCGGAAGCCCTGAGCAGACAGCTCAGGCATGGCTCATTGGCTAGATCAGTCATAATTAGTCACCCCCTCCTAAACCATATTGCTGGCTGATCAGGTGGGATTACCACAAATCACCTAGTTATGTGCTGGAGAATCAAAACTGGGGCTCCTCAGCAAGGAAGAAGGGAGGAATGCATTATCCTTTACATATGTAAGTCCATCTTCCTATACATACACTTCAAAATGCTTGTGTCCATATGAAAAATGTATTTCCCAAAGAGAATCAGCCAGAGTCTCATCTGGATACTCTATCCAGCTTCATGACTAAGATCTCCGGTATGATATGCAGTCTTCTTCTTCAACTGGTGGCTGTGACTCTCTGGTGTCTTGTCCTCTACAGCCACATCTGATATGAGCACTAGGAAGAATACTCTAAAGCCTACTCCCTCCCTCCCTCCCTCCCTCCCTCCCTCCTTCCCTCCCTTCCTTCCTTCTTCCTCCCTCCCTCCCTCCCTCCTTCTCTCCCTTTCTCTCTCTCTCTTTCTTTTCTTTCTTCCTTTCTCTCTCTCTCTCCCTTTCTTCTTTCTTTTTTTTTAAGACAGAGTCTTGCCCAGGCTGGAGTGCAGTGGCACAATCTTGACTCACTGCAACCTCCACCTCCTGGGTTCAAGAGATTCTCCTACCTCAGCCTGCCAAATAGCTGGGACAACACACACACACCATCATGCCTGGCTAATCTTTGTATTTTTAGTAGGGACAGGGGTTTCACCATATTGGCCAGGCTGGTTTCAAACTCCTGACCTCAGTCTACCCACCTCAGCCTCCCAAAGTGCTGGGATTAAAGGCCTGAGCCACAGTGCCCGGCCTTAGAGTATATTTCTTTATTTTGTTCTATTTTGTTTTTTGAGACAGAGTCTCGCACTATCTCCCAGGCTTGAGTGCAATGGCACGATCTCGGCTTGCTGCAAACTCCGCCTCCCAAGTTCAAGTGATTCTCCTGCCTCAGCCTCCCAAGTAGCTGGAATTACAGGCGCCCATCACTATGCCCAGCATTTTTTTTTTGTTTATATTTTTAATAGAGATGGGGTTTCACCATTTTGGCCAGCCTGGTCTGGAACTCCAGATCTAGGTGATCCACCCACCTCAGCGTCCCAAAATGCTGGGATTACAGGCGTGAGCCACCGTACCAGGCCTAGAGTACATTTCTTGATGGTGCAAGCTTGATGTCCTGTCTCAGAGTCACTATTTTCCAGCCTGAAACACTTGTGTCTCAATGCCCTCCATCCTGCCTTTCCCACCTGGCCTGTTACACACCATTCTGGGTCCACTGTGGGCATTTCACTTCTAAATACTCTATTGTCCATCAGCTTGGAGTCTTTTTTTTTTGAGACGGAGTTTCGCTCTTGTTACCAATGCTGAAGTGCAATGGCGCCATCTCGGCTCACCACAACCTCTGCCTCCTGGGTTCAAGCAATTCTCCTGCCTCAGCCTCCTGAGTAGCTGGGATTACAGGCGCCACCATGCCCAGCTAATTTTTTGTATCTTTAGTAGAGACGGGATTTCATCATGTTGGCCTGGATGGTCTCGATCTCTTGACCTCGTGATCCACCCGCCTCAGCCTCCCAAAGTGCTGGGATTACAGGCTTGAGCCACCGCGCCCGGCCCAGTTTGGATTCTTAATCATAAGCAACAGAGATGGATTCTGCTTTTCGGCATAAGATAAATTGTATTCGAAGAATATTGTGCCGCTCGCGGTATGGCCAAAAGGTACTAGAAAATCAGCATCAATCTGAGCCACCCAGCTAGGAATAAGTCCCAGAACTCTACTGCATAACTGGTTGGGTGAGGAAATCGTAGCCACGGTTGCCAACCACTGACACACTCTGTAACACTGTCTGCTGTTTTAGGAACTGGATCTTGACACATGGGCTACTGCACGTGGAGAGGATACACTAAGGTCCTGCCTTGATTTGTTGCTGTTAACTAGCTACCAATTTTAAAGTATGTGATTGGCAGAGCCTAGGTTAAGTGCCCATGCCTTTTACTCCAAGGGAAGATGAAAAAGCAAGTTCAGCTTAAGTTGTTTGGCATTTTCAGCCTTCATAGAGAGAGACTGTTTCCGTGGGAAGACTCAAGGAATTCCCCAAACATAAGAAGGGGATAAATTCTAAGTAGCCCAAAAAGAAAGATCTACTTAAGGGCAAATCCAGTTTTTGTGGGGCCAAAACTTACACAGTTTGGTGGAGTTGTGGAAGTGGGGAAGGGATTTATTTAGGGAAAATACATTCAAAATTCGAATAACAAATTAGAAGTTTTGAAGGAGCTTTTCCAAATGAACAGCCCTGAAGCTCTACCTCCGAAATCACTACGTTAGCTCTGCTTTCCAGCCCCCTCTGCTTTGCACAGTTTATCTCATGCTGGTTACCTCCTGCATGTTCTTCAGGCTTCAACTGAGACATTGCTTCCTCTTTAATCTCTCCCATTGGGACATATATAACATTATAATTATGCCTGTTGATATGCATGACTCCAACACTGGATTATTAAGCACCAAGATTGCAGCCATTTGAGGATCCCCAGTCCCTAGCATAATATCTATACACAGTAGGTACTTGATATTTATTAATGAGAAAACTACATATTCTCCTTGCCTTTTTCTTCTTCATTTCTTTTTGAGACAAGAGTCTCGCTCTATCGCCAGGCCGGAGTGCAGTGGCGCGATCTCAGCTCATTGCAATATCTGCCTCCTGGATTCCATTCTCCTGCCTCAGCCTCCCAAGTAGCTGGGGATACAGGCACATGCCACCATAACCAGCTAATTCTTTTGTATTTTTAGCAGAGATGGGGTTTCACCATGTTGGCCAGGATGGTCTCAAACTCCTGTCCCTCAGGTGATCCAGCCGCCTCAGCCTCCCAAAGTGCTGGGATTACAGGCATGAGCCAACACGCCCAGTCTCCTTTTTTTGTTTTAAAGACAGGGTCTCGCTCTGTTGCCAAGGTTGGGCACAATAACAGCTCACTGCCAGGCTCAACCTCCTAGGCTCAAGCAATCCTCCCATCTCAGCCTCAGGAATAGCTAGGATTACAGGCATGTAGCACCACCACCAGCAACTAATTTTTTCTTGTAGAGACAGTATTTTACCATGTTGCCCAGGCTGGTCTCAAACTCCTAGTCTCAAGGACTGCTTCTGTCTTAGCCTCCCAAAGTGCTGATTACAAGTGTGAGCCACTGCGCCAAGCCTCCCAGTCTGGTTTCATGCTCACATTCTCATGTTGCTTACCACTATCCATATGCTGATGACCATCATCAATTCTTATCTATAGCCCTAAACTAGTTTTTAAAAAATAGCTTTATAGAGCTCTAATGGACATACAGCAAACCACACATATTTAAAGCGTACTTTGAAGTTTTATATATGTCTACACTCATAAAATCATCACTGTAATCAAGATGGTGAACATACCTTGTACCCCAAAATGTTTCCTTGCGCCTTTTATACTTGAAATTCCTCCTTGCTTTCCAATCTCTGGACCCCCACGCAGTAAACCACTGATCTGTTGTCTGTCATACAGATGTTTTAAAATTTTTCCAGGATTTTATGTAAATGAAATTATACAATATGTATTATTTTGTCTGATTTCTTTCACTTAGTGTGAGGTTTATTGCCGAGTTTAAAATGAGGAAACTGAGGCCGGTATAAGAAAATGAAAATCCAATTTATTCAGCTCCCCGGCGAGGTTCCATGGTCCCGGGGAAAGGGGCCAAATTCCTGGGGCGTGGGGTTTTGATGGCTAGAAGGAACGAGCAACAGCTGGGTGCTCTGATTAACTCCAGGGGAGCGAGATTAAGACGGGGCAGGTCGCTATTGGTTAGCGGGTTGTTGGGCGGGTTTTCCCGTGGGAGAGCCGGCCAGGAGCCTTGCATCAGCTGGAGCCTTCCAGGGGAGCCATGCGGCAGACCTAGGTGCCGAGTGCAGAGCCGGGTGCCGGGTGCAGAGGTGGGTGTGTCCAACCCCCATACTTAGCATAATAATTTTGAGATTCATCCATGTCGTAGTGTGTGGCAATGCTTCATTCCTTTTATTGCTGACTAGTATTCCATTGCGTGGCTGCAGTACTGTTTATCCATTCACATATTGATGTACATTGGGGTTGTTTCCAGTTTTCAAGTATCATTATTATTATTATTAATTTATTTTTTGAGACAGAGTCTCTCTCCATCTCCCAGGCTGGAGTGCAATGGCGCAATCTCTGCTCACTGCAACCTCTGCCTCCCAGGTTCAAGCGATTCACCTGCCTCAGCCTCCTGAGTAGCTAGGATTATAGGTGCCCACCACCATGACCAGCGATGTTTTTTAGTAGAGACATGGTTTTGCCATGTTGGCCAGGCTGGTCTCAAACTCCTGACACTCAGGTGATCTGCCTGCCTTGGCCTCCCAAGGTGCTGGGATTACAGGTGTGAGCCACTGCGCCCGGCCTCTGGTTTTCGATTCCTAACCATTGAAACTGCTATAAACAGTCATTCCTGTGCAAACATTGCATGAACATGGTATTTCCTGTCTCTTAGGTGCTGATTGGGTAGCAGTGGTCTGGCCAAGTCATTCTACGGTTGTGCCTTTTTACGTTCCTTGGTGTATGAGTCTTCCAGTTGCTCTATATCCTTGCCATCATGGTCGGTCTTTCTCATTTTAGCCATTTAAATGGGTATGTAGTGCTATATGGTTTTGGTTTTAATTTCTAGTTCCCTAATGACTTATAATTGCTGAGTTTTGAGAGCTCTTCATATATTCTGGATACGAGCGCTTCATCAGATACATGATTACAAATATTTTCATAATGTAGAATCTTTTAAATTTTGGTGAAGTCTAATTTATTAATTTCTTATTTTATGGATCATGCTTTCGGTGTGGTATCTAAGAAATCTTTGCCTAACCTGAAGTCACAAAGATTTTCTTTCTTCTAGAAGTTCTATTTTTTTTTTTTTTTTTGAGACGGAGTCTGACTCTGTTGCCTAGGCTGGAGAGCAATGGCACCATCTCGGCTCCCTGCAACCTCCACCTCCCAGGTTCAAGACATTATCCTGGCCTCAGCCTCCCAAGTAGCTGGGACTACAGGAATACATCACCACACCCAGCTTCTTTTTGTGTTTTTAGTAGAGACAGGTTTCCCCATGTTGGCCAGGCTGGTCTTGAACTCCTGACCTCAGTTGATCTGTCTGCCTCGGCCTCCCAAAGAGCTATGATTACAGGCGTGAGCCATCCTGCCCAGCCTCTTCTAGAAGTTTTATAGTTGTAGGTCCATAACTCATTTCGAGTTAATTTTTGCATATGGTACAAGATATGCATTGAAGCTTACTTTTTGGCATATGTGTATCCAATTTGTTGAAAAGTCTATCCTTTTCAACTATATTCTCCCCACTGAATAACCTTTGGACCTTTGTTAAAAATCATTTGTCCACATATGGTAGGGATCCATTTATGGATTCTCTGTTCCATCAATTAGTCTATCTTTGTGCCAATACCGCAGGGTTGACAGGTCTTGAAATCAGTAGTGTAATCTCTCTAACTCTGTTATTTTCCAAAGCTGATTTGGCTATTCTAAGTCCTTTGCATTTCCATTTGAATTTTTTCCCCCATTTGAATTTTAGAATCAGTTTGTCAACTTCCAAAAGGGAAAAGCCTCTGGGATTTTTAGTTTTATTTTATTTCAGAGATGGAGTCTTGTTATATTGCCTAGGTTGGTCTCAAACTCCTGGCCTCCTGCCTCAGCTTCCCAGTAGCTGAGATTACAGGCATGACCATACCCGATTCGGGATTTTGATTGGAATCATGTTGAGTCTACAGGTCAATCTTGGAAGAACTGAGATTTCAACAATATTGAGTCTTCTTGACTCATGAATTTGTAAGAGCTCTCCATCTTTTAGTCTTCTTAAATTTCTCTCAGCAATGTTTTATAGTTTTCAGTGAACATGTCTTACATATCTTTTGTCAGATTTATTTTTCAGTATTTAATATTTTTGATGTTACTGTAAATATCATGGCTTTTTGCATTTTAAATTTTGATTATTAGTGTTTTTGTTTTAAATCTTTTTTTTTTTGAGACGGAGTTTCGCTCTTGTTACCAGGCTGGAGTGCAATGGTGCGATCTCGGCTCACCGCAACCTCTGCCTCCTGAGTTCAGGCAATTCTCCTGCCTCAGCCTCCTGAGTAGCTGAGATTACAGGCACGCGCCACCATGCCCAGCTAATTCTTTGTATTTTGAGTAGAGATGGGGTTTCAACATGTTGACCAGGATGGTCTCGATCTCTTGACCTCGTGATCCACCCGCCTCGGCCTCCCAAAGTGCTGGGATTACAGGCTTGAGTCACCGTGCCCGGGCAAATCTTTTTTCTATTTTATTGATGTATTACTCTGTAAAGTGCACAATCCATATATATATATATGGTTTATGTATATATATAAACCTCTCTTTGGGAAAACTTTATTGTGAAAAAGATACAAATAAGATATTCTTATTAGATTCAGTTTGAAAGGAAATTATCAAGTGTGATACACTTACTTAAGGATGGCCTCAACATTAGATTGGGAAGCTTTTCTCTTTCAAATGAATGAAAATGATCCGTTTCATAGGAAGATGTTAGGTAATACAGTGTACGTGACTAAATATTTTCACTCTTCAAGTTGAAGACCATTATCCTTCAAGAAATGCCCCTAATCCAGCATGGTTACTCTTCACCTTCTTTAAACGACCAAAGCGAAGTACATTGGCATATTCAGTTGTGTCATTTGCATATGAAAATGTATTTTATCAATGATTTCTTAAGCATTTGTCTCTCCTTCCTCCCACGATTTCAATAAACTGATGCCAATAATTTATGGAAGAAATTATAAAAGTTTACTAAAAGACAGATATAAAAAACTGAATGAATGAAGCAGACAATTGTGTTCATGGAGAGGAAAAGGCAAAGCAAGGGAAATATATCATTTTTCCCCAATGTAGTCTGCAAAATCAACAATTTGTTGTTGTTGGTGGTGGTGGTGCTGTTATTTTTTTAAAGAGAAAGAGCCTCTCACTGTTGCCCAGGCTGGAGTGCAGTGGCACCATCATAGCCCCAACTTCATGGGCTCAAGTGATCCTCCTGCCTCAGCCTCCCAAATAGCTGAGGCAAATGCCACCATGCTTGGCTAATGCTATTTACGCATGTATTTATATATTTATTGTAGAGACAAGGTCTTACCATCTTGCCCAGGCTGGTCTTGAACTCGTGGGCTCAAGCAGTTTTTCCACCTTGGCCTCCCAAAGTGCTGAGATTACAGGCATGAGCCACTGCACCCAGACTGCACAAATCTTGTATATAAGTTGAAAAAAGTTTGTGTCTGAATATACTGCTGTGATTACCAGTCAGATCAAGATGTGTAACATTTTGTGCATCCAAGAAGGTTTCTTCATGCCCCTGCTCCCCACCCTCCCCGACAACCAGGAGATTCCCTTATGATCCCTCTCACTATAGTTTTTATCTTCATATAAATGGAATTAATCATGATATACTCTGTCTGGCTTCTTCAACTTATGTACATAAGGTTCATCTATATTGTTGTGTGTAGTGGACGTTCATTCTTATTCATTGCTATGTAATATTTTGTCTCCAATTTAAGGACATTTAGATTATTTCCAGTTTTTGGTACTGTGGATGATGCTGCAATGAATATTCTTGTATATGATCATAAATACTCGGGTACATGCCCAGTGGTAGAATTATTGGGTAGTATGGTATATGTGTAACTAGCTTTAGTAGATAGTGTCTGACATAGTTTGGGTATGTGTCCCCACCCAAATCTCATGTCAAATTGTAATCCCCAATGTTGGAGGTTGGGCCTGATGGGAGGTAACTGGATCTCAGGGGTAGGTTTCTCACTAATGATTATGTACCATCCCCGTTGGTACTGTCCTCTCAACAGTGAGTGAGTTCTTGGGAGGTCTGGTTGTTTAAAAGTGTGTGACACCTCCCTCCACCCCACTTGCTCCTGCTCCTGCCATGTAAGATGCCTGCTCTACCTTTGCTTCTACTATGACTGGAAGCTTCCTGCGGCCTCCGCACAAGCAGAAGCTGCTATGCTTCTTGTACAGCCCGCAGAACCATGAGCCAATTAAACATTTTTTTCTTTATAAATTACTTAGTCTCAGGTATTTCTTTATAGCAATGCAAGAACAGACTAATACAGTGTCACACAGTTTTCCAAAATGATTAACCAATTTAAAGTCTCACCAACAATATATGAAACATAGTTGCTCCATATCCTTATCAATGCTTGGTATTGGAAGTCCTATTAATTTAAGCCATTCTGGTGATAGTTTTGGTATCTCATTATAATTTCAATGTCCATGATACAGATTTTTTTTTTTTTTTGAGACGGAGTCTCACTGTGTCGTCCAGGCTGGAGTACAGTGGTGCGATCTCAACTCACTGTAACCTCTGCCTCCTGGGTTCAAGTAATTCTCCTGCCTCAGCCTCCCAAGTAGCTGGGATTACAGGTGCCCACCATCATGCCCAGCTCATTTTTGTATTTTTAGTAGAGACAGGGTTTCACCATGTTGGTCAGTCTGGTCTCAAACTCCTGATCTCATGATCCACCCACCTCAGCCACCCAAAGTGCTGGGATTACAGGTGTGAGCCACCGCGCTCAGCCACAGCTATATATTTTTTTTTTGAGACAGTCTGCTTCTGTTGCCCAGGCTGGAGTGCTGTGGTGCCATCTCACTCACTGCAACCTCTGCCTCCCAGGTTCGGGTGATTCTTGTGCCTCAACCTCCCTAGTAGCTGGGATTATAGGTGCGCACCACCATGCCCGGTTAATTTTTGCATTTTTAGTAGATACAGGGTTTTGGAGATCCCTTAAGGCCAGGCTGGTCTCCAACTCCTGGCCTCAAGGGATCCTCCCACTTCGACCTCTCAAAGTGCTGGGATTACAGGCTTGAGCCACTGCACCCAGCCATGATATGGCTATTAATATAGAACTTCTTTTCATGTTGGGCCTATAGGTCAGTCTTGAAATTTGCCCTTTCATAGGGTATCCATATTTATTTATTTTTGAGACAGAGTTTTGCTCTGTTGCCAGGCGCCAGTCTGGAGTACAGGGGTCCGATCTTGGCTCACTGCAACCTCCGCCTCCTGGGTTCAAGCAATTCTCCTGCCTCAGTCTCCCTGGTAGCTGGGACTATAGGCGCATGGCACCACGCCCAGCTAATTATTTTTGTATTTTTAGTAGAGATGGGGTTTCACCATGTTGACCAGGATGGTCTCGATCTCTTGACCTCGTGATCCTCCCGCCTCGGCCTCCCAAAAGGGTATCCATATTTATATGCATATTGGTGCATGGCAGAGACTGGTGTACTCACCTTGGTGTATGAGTGACATACAGTGCAGTGAAGACAAACTGGAGCATACCCGAGAATAACCCTATTCTAAGTGAGTTTGGAGTCCCAGGCTAAGGAATCCAGGTGTAGCCAACACTGAAGTTCACTCCTTATCTAGGAAGGACATCCACACCCCTGCCCCATCCCTTGGAACACAGGCTGTACAGGGGATCAAGGCCCTTTGTTTTGGATTAAAGGGAGGTTGCTAGAAGGAAGGTGCAAGTGATACGGGGTTTTGGAGTGAAATGCTATATAGACTACACACTTTTTACAAATGGTAGCGGTTCTCCAGGCCAGCCACCACCACTGGACCACCCCTGTATGTGGGTCCTGAATAAACCTTACGTTTCCTTCACTGGCTCTGCCTCTGTTATAGTGCCATCCCAACTGGGAACAATGGGGATCGAGAAGGACAACTGGCCCTTTATATAACATTTGAAAATTAACCAGTGTAGGCCAGGTGCAGTGGCTCACGCCTGTAATCCTAGCACTTTGGGAGGCCGAGGCGGGTGGATCACGAGATCAGGAGATCGAGACCATCCTGGTCAACATGGTGAAACCCCGTCTCTACTAAAAATACAAAAAATTAGCTGGGCATGGTGGTGCGTGCCTGTAATCCCAGCTACTCAGGAGGCTGAGGCAGGAGAATTGCCTGAACCCAGGAGGCGGAGGTTGCGGTGAGCCGAGATCGCGCCATGGCACTCCAGCCTGGGTAACGAGCGAAACTCCGTCTCAAAAAAAAAAAAAAAAAGAAAAAAGAAAATTAACCAGTGTAATTCACAGTAACATATTATTATTTAAAAAAAATACATATGAGGCCGGGTGAGATGGCTCACGCCTGTAATCCCAGCACTTTGGGAGGCCGAGGCGGGCGGATCACCTGAAGTTGGGAGTTTGAGACCAGCCTGACCAACATGGAGAAACCCCATCTGTACTAAAAATACAAAATTACCTGGGTGTAGTGACTCATGCCTGTAATCCCAGCTACTCCAGAGGCTGAGGCAGGAGAATTGCTTGAGCCTGGGAGGCGGAGGTTGCGGTGAGCCAAGTTTGTGCCATTTCACTCCAGCCTGGGCCACAAGAGTGAACTCTGTCTCCAAAAAAAAAAAAAAGAATGTGTCAATAAAGGCAGAAAAAAGCACTTGACATTGAATGCTTTTCTCTTGATGTTACAACCAAGATAGGGAAATCCATTATCACTATTTTTATTCAATAGTGGACACACTAGCCAGCAACAAAACTAAAAGGTATAAAGATTACAGAGAAGTTAGACCATCTTTATTCCCAGATTGCAAGGTTATGATCACATACATTCCAAAAGAATCCAGAGTATTATAAATGATAAGGGGACTTAGCAAGATGCTTGAATATAACATCAGCATGTAAAAATCAATAGTGTTTCTATATCCTTACAACAAACGAGTATATAAAGAAAAATGCTATTCAATGTTGCATTCAAAACACTACTCAAGAACAAATCTAATGAAAGATACGTATGATCTCTATACTGCAGTCTATCCAAGCACAGCTGCCTTAAACTATAAATATGTGTACAATCTACAAAACACTGCCAGGAGAAATTAGAGGCCACTTAAATAAATAGTGGGAAAGAATGACATTCATGGATTAAGGGACTTAATATCGTTCATATACTAGTTTTCCCCAAACAGATCTATAGATCCAATGCAAGCCCAGTACAAATCCCAGCAGCTGTTTTTTATTTTAAACTGACAAGCTAATTCCAAAATTCACCTAGAATTCAACGGCCTTGGAATAAGCCAAAGCAGTCTTGGGAGAATAAAGCCACGGGACTTCGATACTTACTACAAAGCTACATTAATTCATACAGTTTGGTAGTGGCATAAAGTTAGATAAAGACCACTCCCTCCCGCTCCGCAATCTGCCCCCATCCTTGGAACGTCCCGGCAGCTTTCCCCGTCTGCTTGGGTCGAAGGGGCAGAGGGCGGGCCTGACCGATAGGGGTGGGAAACAAAGCGACACTGAGATCGCTTCAGGCCACCTTCCTCCCCTCAGTGCCTTTGGATTAAAAAGGTTTTCCTTCTTGGTCTAGGATGACCACTAAGAAGAAAGCCTGGGCTGTGGAGTTATGAGGAAGCCGGCGCCTCTGTCTCCCAGGAACCAGAAGGCTTTTAGCTGCGATGAGCTCAGAAGCACTTCCAGCGAGCCAGCCCTTTTTGATTCCCAGCGCAACGGTCGCGGGAATCCGGGCGCCATCCAGGCCTCTGTTCCCGGAAAAGACCATGCAGCCGCCGGTGACATCACGGAGGGGAAAGGGCCTGGCTACCCGTGGCAGCCATGATAAAACGCAGGGAAAACGGAGCTCCAAGTAGCTGGTGTTATTAACGGACATGCAAACGCTCCTAACCGCTGCACGTTCCTGAGGGATATCAGTTGTTATAAAAGTGCTTCTGGCCGGGCGCGGTGGCTCACACCTGTAATCCCAGCACTCTGGGAGGCCGAGGCGGGTGGATCACGAGGTCAACAGATCGAGACCATCCTAGTCAACATAGTGAAACCCCGTCTCTACTAAAAACATTAAAAAAATTAGCTGGGCATGGTGGCGCGTGCCTGTAATCCCAGCTACTCGGGAGGCTGAGGCAGGAGAATTGCCTGAACCCAGGAGGCGGAGGTTGCGGTGAGCCGAGATCGCGCCATTGCACTCCAGCCTGGGTAACAAGAGCGAAACTCCGTCTCAAAAAAAAAATAAATAAAATAAAAGAAAAGTGCTTCTGAGCTACGCTCCGGGAGACTCTGTGGGAGTGCCCGCGGGCGTGGGCGCGGTGGAAGAGAGGGAGAAAGCGTAGCCCAGGCCTCCGTAACCATGGCTGCGAGGGGCGGGGTGCGGGCGGGAAGGACTCGGTCCTCCACGGTCCCAGCAGGCCCCGCGCCTGCGTGTCCCTCCCTTCCCGCTGGCGCACGCTGCGTGGCTGCTCGTTGGTACTTAGGAGGGAAAGTCGGTTGGTGTTTCTACAGGACTTTCCCCCTTGGGCGGTGGCGGAGCTGATAAACGCGGTCGTAGCAGCTCTGGTGGCAACAGCGGTGACTACAAGGGCTGGCGACGGCTGCAGCAGGACCTGCAACATCCCAGAGGTGCGTGTTTTGCTTTCCCTTTGCTATTTATTTTATCTCCCTTTCCTTGGCTAGTGGAGTCTGCTCAAGTCGTTGTTTCCCTGACAGGTTTTTCCAGAACTTCTCGGATGCGCTAGTCTACGAGGACCCCCCGAGGCGGCGTTAGAGATGAGAGAGCCTGTTTCTGCTTCCTCCACTCCCGGCTGAGCCGCCTCCTTCCGGCACCGCCTGATTGGGACCCAGGCCCCTGTTGATGCTGCGTCTCAGCCCCAGTATTGAGATTCTCGGTCTCCGTTCTCTGTCCCACGGTAGCCGCGTTACCCCAGGCTCCTTCCTGTCTTGCCCTTTCCACTTCCAGACTCTTGCATTCCTACAGCTCCTGAGAAAAACCTTCTCTATTTCTTGGGAGTATGGTTGGCACCTGTAGTTGGGCTGAAAGGATTTTTTTTTTTTTATTGCATTTTAGGTTTTGGGGTACATGTGCAGAACTTGCAAGATAGTTGCATAGGTACACACGTGGCAGTGTGTTTTGCTGCCTTCCTCCCCTTCACCCACATTTGGCATTTCTCCCCAGCCTGTCCCTCCCCTATTCCCCCCAATAGATGACTAGCGGAGAAAAGGGACTCTGGGCTCTGTGAAATTAATTTTTTCGTTTGACAATCATTCTTGCCATTCTTATGTAATATGTCGGCCTGAAGTCAGTGTACTGGAACAAAAATCTTTTCCCTCATGTCCCTGAAACTTTCCAGATGTCTTGTCACAGTTCATTATTCACTCATTTGTTGATTCATCAAAATTTTTTTTTTAGGAGTTGCTGTGCGCAAAGGCGCTGATTGCTATGGCTTAGTCTTAGTTACATACTTAGCTATCTCAGAAATCGTTTCTTGTAGGTGTGCAGTGAAGACAAACTGAAGCTGTAAAGGAACGTAAAAGAGCAAGAGTTAAGTAGTAAGAGTTAAAGAAGAGCCTAAAGATAAATGATGCTGTGGGTCACGGAATTTAACCAGGGTTTTTGTTGTTGTTTTTTGCTTTATTTAAAGCACAGAAACAAGGACACCCTGTTTTGTTGTTATAATCTAACCTAAGTAAGGTTAACAATTTGAGGCAAGACAGCATCTTTTCTAGTTATGACTTTTATAAGGAATGTACCACATGGTACTAGATCCCCCGTTGAGGTGATCTTTGAACGGAGACCTGAAGAAACAAGAGAATTAGCTTGGAAGCTCTAGGGAAAGACCATTCCAGGCAGGACCGAGAGCCAGTACAGAGATGAAGTTGGCCTGTATATGGAGCAGCAAAAGGCTCTTTTTATTCGAGGGGCCGTTTGATTAGGAGATAAGCTTGCACAGGAGACTGGGAGCCAGGTCCTGTAAGGTCTTTTAGGGTCCAGGTATGCTTTTTTAATCTAAATATATAGACCTTTAGATACCAGCAATAAGATTTCCTGGGATCAGTTTTGAGATAATGTTACAAGAAGCAGTGAGAATTTTTCTTTATAATTCCTTATAGTAGATATCGATTACTTTGAATTTACTTTCTTAATTGCCATGTTAGGCCTAGTGCTTCCTTTGGAAATCCAGTTTATATAAAAGTTGCTTTTAGGCTGGGCATGGTGGCTCATGTCTGTAATCCCAGCACTTTGGGAGGCCGAGGAGGGTGGATCCCTTGAGGTTAGGAGTTTGAGACCAGCCTGGCCAACATGGTGAAACCCTGTCTCTACTAAAAATACAAAAAAAGAAAGCCAGCAACTTAAAAAAGTTGGTTTTAAAAAATATTAATATAATGAACTTCATTGTCACTTTCCATCTTCTTAATTTTTTTTTTTTTTTTTTGAGATGGAATCTCACTCTGTTGCCCAGGCTGGAGTGCAATGGCACGATCTTGGCTCACAGCAACCTCCACCTACCAGGTTCAAGCGATTCTCCTCTCTCAACCTCCCAAGTAGCTGGGATTACAGGCACACACCACCACACCCAGCTAGTTGTTGTACTTTTTAGTAGAGACAGGGTTTCACCATGTTGGTCAGGCTAGTCTCAAACTCCTGATCTCAGGTGATCTGCTGCCTCAGCCTGCCAGTGTGCTCGGATTACAGGCATGACCATGCTCAGCCTTAATTTTTGTATTGAGATGTGTATGATACATGTAAATAACACAAATTCTAAGTCTCCACTTTGATAAGTTTCAGGTATGTATACACCATCCAGATCAAGATACAGAGCATCTCCATTCGTAAGGCTCCTTCATGCTCCTTTCCAGCCAACCGTTCTTACTGTTCCGCTGACTCACCATCAGTTCGTTTTGCTTGTTCTTTACTCATAAACAGAATCATATAGTAGGTGCTTTGTTCAGTGGAGGCAATCTGTTTTTGCTTTAATCATTACATGAGTATACGTCCATATTGTGTGAGGGAGTAGTTCTTTTGCATTGCTGTGTAGTATTCCATTGTATAATTGTATGAATATATGTTGTATAAATGTAAATATGGTGCGATTTATTCCAACAGGACATCTGGCTTATTTCTAGTTATTAGCTAGCATAAGTAAAGCTTCTGTGAGTGCTCTTGTGTGTATTTTGGTGAACACATGCATTTCTTTTTTTTGATTGTATATACCTAGGAGTAGAGTTGCATAGAATAGACATGTGGTTAACACTAGTACCTTGGTTTTTAATGTATGGCTCTTGGACCAGCAGTATCAGCATCGCCTGGCAATTCATTAGAAGTGCAAATTCTTATTAAAAGTTCTTATGGACCAGGCGTGGTGGCTCATGCCTGTAATCCCAGCACTTTGGGAGGCCAAGGTGGGTGGATCATCTGAGATCAGGAGTTTGAGACCAGCCTGGCCAACATAGTAAAACCCCGTCTCTATTAAAAATACACAAAATTAGTTGGGTGTGGAGGCAGGTGGCTGTAATCCCACCTACTTGGGAGGCTGAGGCTGAGGCTGGAGAATCACTTGAACCCAGGAGGCAGAGGTTGCGGTGAGCCAAGATCACACCATTGCACTACAGCCTTGGTAAGAGAACGAGACTCAATCTAAAAAAAAAAAAAAAGTCCTTATGACTCATGTAGTCCAGGACTAATTACCCTTCCGTTTCACAGTGTCCATAAGAAAGCAGACCTGGCGGGGCATGGTGGCTCACGCCTGTAATCCTACCACTTTAGGAGGCTGACGTGGGAGGATCACTTGAGACCAAGAGTTTGCGACCAGCAGTTCAAGACCAGCCTAGGCAACAAAAAGAGACCCTGTTTCTTTTCTTTTTTTTTTTTTTTTTTTTGAGATGGAGTTTCACTCTTGTTACCCAGGCTAGACTGCAATGGCGTGATCTCGGCTCACTGCAACCTCCGCCTCCTGGGTTCAGGCAATTCTCCTGCCTCAGCCTCCCGAGTAGCTGGGCTTACAGGCATGCGCCACCCTGCCCAGCTAATTTTTTGTATTTTTAGTAGAGACGGGGTTTCACCATGTTGACCAGGATGGTCTCGATCTGTTGACCTCGTGATCCACCCGCCTTGGCCTCCCAAAGTGCTGGGATTAAGGCATGAGCCACTGCGCCCAGCCCGAGACCCTGTTTCTTAAAAAGAAAACTGAGACCCAAGTAAATCCAAATGATTGATCATAGAGACACACCAGTTACAGGCAGAAGCGGGGCCTCAGGACACAGGTCTTCCACATTTTAGTCCAGTGCTATAGAACAGTGGTCCTCAACGGTGTGGTCTCCAGATGAGCTGCAGCATCAACATGTTAGAAATGCAAATACTTATGTATTTATTTCTTTATTTGAGACTGACTCTCACTCTGTCACCCAGGCTGGAGTGCAGTGGCACAATCTCAGCTCACTCCAATGTCTGCCTCCCAGGTTCGAGTGATTCTCCTGCCTCAGCCTCCCAATTAGCTGGGATTACAGGCATGTGCCATCACACCCAGCTCATTTTTATATTTTTAGTAGAGATAGGGTTTCACCATGTTGGTCAGGCTGGTTGCAAACTCCTGGCCTCAAATGATCCACTCACCTCATCCTCACAAAGTGCTGGGATTAGAAGCGCGAGCCACCATGCCTGCCCCTAGAAAATTCTCAGGACCCACCACAGACCCAGAATCAGAAACCCTGGGTGTGGGAAGGATGGTCAGCATAACAATCAGCTGTGTTAAGAAGAAATGTTCTTTTTAAACTGTGAGATGACCTCACGAAGATGAACAGGTCAATGTAAATTTTTAAATTGGTAATGAGAAGTGAGGCTAAAACGTTGATGGTGAATGTGAGTGTATTTCTCCTGGATTCTCCCAAGGGCTACTTTAACAGCCATTTGGGATTTAGGTCACTTGGTATTATGTGAGTTAAAATGTATACATTTTATATGAAGTTATCCACTTAGGAGTAAAGGGGAAGTATCACATATGCTGTTTGACGTTTTTCGTTCAAGACAAAAAATGGACATTAGTAGTGACTGGAAATCATGGCGCGGTGGCTCAAGCCTGTAATCCCAGCACTTTGGGAGGCCGAGGCGGGTGGATCACGAGGTCAAGAGATCGAGACCATCCTAGTCAACATGGTGAAACCCCGTCTCTACTAAAAATACAAAAAATTAGCTGGGCATGGTGGTGCGTGCCTGTAATCCCAGCTACTCAGGAGGCTGAGGCAGGAGAATTGCCTGATCCCAGGAGGCGGAGGTTGCGGTGAGCCGAGATCGCGCCATTGCACTCCAACCTGGGTAACAAGAGCGAAACTCCCTCTCAAAAAAAGAAAAAACTGCAATGAGTGAGTTTTCAGTCTACTGGAAAGACAAGTCAACAGATGGTTAAAATATAAAGTAATTACCGTAATGGAGTTGTATATAAAAGAGCGTGACAGAATAGAATCTGACTGAGGGAGTTAAAAGCTTTACAGAGGAGGTTGCAATTCAGTATGGAGAGAACATGTGTGAATTTTGAGAATCGTTCAAGGCCCAGTATGTGTGGCGGTTAAGAGCCCAGGCTCTGGAGTCAGAGACTCTTGGGTCAAAATTCTGGTTTCGTGGTAACTGTGTAGCTTCAGTAAGCTTCATGTTACCACTCCAGAGCAGATTTCTCATCTGTCCAATGGGAACAAATAGGACCTACCTGAAAGGGTTATTATGGAGATAAGTGAGGTACCCTGTATTACATGCTTAGTACAGTGCTGGGCACATGGTAAAGACTACCTAACTGTTCTATTTGGGAAGAATACAAGTTGTTCAGTAGTATTAGAACATAAAATGTGAGGAGGAAAGTGCGAGGAGATAAGGGCTAAACAAATGGAGAGAGGCCAGGCCTTCAAAGGCATTAAATCTCAGCAGACTGTTTTCGGTATTATCATGTGATCACGGAGGTCTGTGAAGAATTTGGGGGAAGGAAATGAAATTTTCTGAATTACAAAACCTACTTTAAAAGCAGAGTAGATAATGAATTGGATGAGGCACGAGAGATAGTGGATAGCAGGAAGATTATGGTGCAGAGCAGGTCAAAGATGAATATCATCATGTAGGGCAGTGATTGAGGGCATGGAGGGGAGTTGTTTCATGTAAAATGCGCTGGATTTGGTGATTATTGGAAGATAAGGGATGACTCCCGAGTTTCTGGCTGGGGGTACGCAGTAGGAATTGGTGCCATTCACTTATATAGCACCCAGGATGATAGCACTTTGCAGACTGCGTTCAGCATGGGGGAATAGATTTGAAGAGAGGAAGTAATGTTAGATTTTGAATATTTGTACATGAATTGCCTCTGGGACATTTCGGGTGAAGTCTAGAGAAAACCATGCAGTTGTTGCTCATAAGCTCTGTCTAGGCACCCAAGATAGACTTGAGTCATCAGCATGATTCAAGATGTGTGTGGGCCAGGTACAGTGGTGCACACCTGTCATCCCAGCACTTTGGGAGACTGAGGCTGGTGGATCATCTGAGGTCAGGAGTTCGAGACCAGCCTGACCAACATGGTGAAATTCCATCTCTACTAAATATAAAAAATTAGCCGGATGTGGTGGCACATGTCTGTAATCCCAGCTACTTGGGAGGCTGAGGCCGGAGAATCGCTTCAACCTGGGAGGTGGAGGTTGTGGTGAGCCAAGATGGCACCACTGCACTCCAGCCTGGGCAACAAGAGGGAAATTTTGTCTTAAAAAAAAAAACACAAGATGTGGCCGGGTGCGGTGGCTCACGCCTGTAATCCCACCACTTTGAGAGGCTGAGGTGGGTGGATCACGAGGTCAAGAGATCAAGACCATCCTGGTCAACAAGGTGAAACCCCGTCTCTACTAAAAATACAAAAATTAGCTGGGCATGGTGGTGCGCACCTGTAGTCCCAGCTACTTGGGAGGCTGAGGCAGGAGAATTGCTTGAACCCAGGAGGCGGAGGTTGCGGTGAGCCAAGATCGTGCCATTGCACCCCAGTCTGAGTAACAAGAGCAAAAATCCATCTCAAAAAAAAAAAAAAATAATACAAGATGTATGTGAAGCCCCTGACACCACTTAGAGTCAAAGAATGTTTCTAAAAGGGGAGGAAGTCTAAGTACTGAACCCATGGAAAACATTATTATTATTTTTTGAGATGGAGTTTTGCTCTTGTTACCCAGGATAGAGTGCAGTGGCATGATCTCGACTCACTGCAACCTCCACCTCCCGGGTTCAAGCGATTCTCCTGCCTCAGCCTCCCGAGTAGCTGTGATTACAGGCATTGACTACCATGCCCTGCTAATTTTTGTATTTTTAGTAGAGACAGAGTTTTGCCATGTTGGCCAGGCTAGTCTCAAACTCCTGGCCTCAGGTGATCCACCTGCCTTGGCCTCCCAAAGTGCTGGGATTACAGGCGTGAGCCACTGCACCGGGCCAGGAAAACATTAGTTTTTAAGAGGCAACAGAATGGTAAGCTGAAAGGCCTGGTTTTTATTGTCAGGGACCACAGAGAGATCAAGTCAGACAGGATCAGTCGGATTTGATAAGGCATTACTAGTGGCTTTAAGATTAAGACTAGAGAGGCACATGTTTTTATATTTTGTGGCAAAGGAGATGCAGTCGAAGTAGCACATGTCTGTAATATGTAGAGATATGGAAAATATAATAAGTAGAGATATGGAAAAGGCTGAAAAAAGTCTGCGAGGAGAGAAATCAGTACTTTTGATTGATGCTTACTAGACGCCAGGTATGTATCTAAGTAAGCCCAAAACCCTGGCGTGATCTTCAGCTTCTCTTATCCCACGTTCAACCCATTAGCAAGTCTTGCTGGTTCTAATATATTCCAGCTCATGGTATTTCTCTTCCTCACCTCTGTGGCTAACATCCTTTTCTAGCCTAGACTTAATGTAGTAGTTTCCTAAGAAGTCTCTGTTTCCAGCCCTGATTTGTTATAATGTATTCACCATGCAGCAACCAGAACGACCTTTTAAATAAGTAGATTGGACCATATCTCCCTCCTACTAACCATGAACTTCCCATGGCTTTCCGTTACACCCTAGGTCCAAATTCCTTATAACAGCCTGCAGGGTACACAGGGAGGCCCTTGGAGTCGCATCTTACAGCTTCTTTGCTCACTTAGTTGGAGTCCCACTTTCTTTCTGTTGGTTGAAGTGACCCCATGTGAGTTGAGGGGGCATCTGTATTCATTGCTTTGTCAGAGTATGCTACTAGGTTAAAGCAAAGTCAGTGACACATGTGGCTATTGAAATAATTGTCCTGTTTAAGAAAAGTACCAAATCCCTAGAGTTTGTAGGCAGTTGGCAGAAAATAAAAGTGCTCCTGGACTTGGCCTCGATTTCCCTAATTGTGTAATCTCTTACATCATTATTTTTCCAGCTACCACACCTATAGGTTGTGACTGTACCGACTGAAAAAGTTTTAATCTCTCTAATGTTAACTCCCGATCAGTTGATGTAGCTATCTATTACATTGTATTTGGGCTTTGAACAGAATGTTTAATTGCATTTTACTAGCGTCGTGTGCTGTTGATAGAGGATAAGGAAGGGCCAGGTAAGCTTGATGGCGTACGTATCGATTGTCTTAACCTCCCTGTGCTCTAGATTTAGCTTTTAGTCTTTATTTATAGGACAGCTTCACATTTTCTAGGAATCTCAAATCTATATGGTATTTGAATCTTCTCCAAATTAGGAGGAAATAATCTGTAATGGTGAATGTTTATCAGTTAAACTCTTCGGAATATGTGAGGTGGTAATAATTGCCACTTACTGAGTTCTGTAGTCCAGGAGCGAAATGCTTTACAGTACAGAGATACTACGTTAGAGTTTCTGCTTTTGGGAAGAGGGGCAGGAGAAGGGAAGATCCTCTTAGGAAAAGCTCCAAGGTTATATCCCTGTTATCTTTCCTCCAAATAGTTTCTGATAATAAGTTATTTGTTTAAAAATTATGTTTTAATTAGAATTTGATGGTTTTTTAAAAGCTTTTACTGGCCCTCAACATGTTTGTTTTTATAGGAGCTGACTAAGGCTTTGGAGCAGAAACCAGACGACGCACAGTATTATTGTCAGAGAGCTTAGTGCTTGCCACATTCTTCTTGGAAATTACCGTGCTAGTTTTTCTTACAAAGTATATTGTCCCTTTTTAATAAGCTACTTCTACATTTTACTCATGATAAATTAATCAAATAAAGGTTGTCTTCGGGGATTTTTAAATTGGCCTTTCAGGTAAGGTAAAGTAGCTCAAAGTGTGACATATATGTTGAGCTATTTAACATATATCTATTAAATGTTAAATAAATAGAGCATATCTATTTAAATGTTATGGATGTCTCTTTTTCCTTTATTTAATGGCACCAATTCCTACGACATTCACCCATGTACATTACCTATTTAAATGTTATGGATGTCTCTCTTTTTCCTTCATTATATAGATTTCATTCATACTTATTGGGTAGGATGATAAAGAATGGTGTCATATTTACTATTTGACAGAGTATTAAAATGAAATGCTCTTGTTTGTATTTTTTTATTAAAAAGAATGTGGCCAGGCATGGTGGCTCACACCTGCAATCCCAGCACTTTGGGAGGCCAAAGCAGGAGGATCACATGAGCTCAGGAGTTTGAGTCCAGCCTGGACAACATAGCAAGACCCTATTAATCTATATTAAGAAATACTGTATTTCTGTATTGTGTCACTGTAAAAAATTATTCTGATAAAGTATCTAGAGAGGGAAAAACTGAATATCTTTTTTTTTTTTTTAGACAGAATTTTGCTCTTGTTGCCTAGGCTGGAGAGCAGTGGCACAATCTCAGCTCACTGCAGCCTCTGCCTCCCAGGTTCAAGCAATTCTCCTGCCTCAGCCTCCTGGTAGCTGGGACTATAGGCACGTGCCATGATGCCCGGCTAAATTTGTATTTTTAGCAGAGATGGGGATTCACCATATTGGCCAGGCTGGTCTCAAACTCCTGACCATAGGTGATCCTCTCACCTCAGACTCCCAAAGTACTAGGATTATAGGCATGAGCCACTGCACCCAATCAAATTACATAGATGATGCTAATGAGAAAAAGAGATGAATTTTGTGACACAGCTTTGTTCATTGCCTGAAGAGCTTTAAGAAGGAAGCTAAATGTTAAGCCAAAAGGAAGGTACAAGGGTAATATTTCTTTGAATTCTGTCTTGGATTGGCTTTTCCTAATTAAAAACCATTTGGTGTTTCTACCAACTCAAAAAGTTAGAAATCTAAAACTGATTCGTATTCTGTGTGTATTTGTTAGGATCTGTAAATAACTGATGAAAACCCATCTTTAATCCCAGCACTTTGAGAGGTCAAGTCAGGCAGATCACAAGGTCAGGAGATCGAGAGCATCCTGGACAATATGGTGAAACCCCGTACCTACTACAAAAATACAAAAATTAGCTGGGTGTGGTCGCACACGCCTGTAGTCCCACTTAGGAGGCTGAGGCAGGAGAATTGCTTGAACCTGGGAGGTAGAGGTTGTAGTGACCTGAGATTATGCCACTGCACTGCAGCCTGGCCACAGAACAGGACTCTGTCTCAAAAAAGAAAGAAATTACAAAGGAGTCTAAAATGAATTCAATTCAATAGGCAAAATGAAGCCACTTTTCTTTAGTTGAAAGGTATGGAGAATTGGCTTGATTTCTATTGCACAAACATATTAATCAGTATGTTTGTGCAATAGAAATCGTATACATAAGGCCAGGCGCAGTGTCTCATGCCTGTAATCCCAGCACTTTGGGAGGCCGATGCAGGAGGATCACCTGAGGTCAGGAGTTTGAGACCAGCCTGGCCAACTTGGTGAAACCCCGTCACTACTAAAAATACAAAATTAGCTGGGCATTGTGATGCATGCTGGTAATCCCAGCTACTCAGGAGGCTGAGGCAGGAGAATCACTTGAACTGAGGAGGCAGAGGTTGCAGTGAGCCGAGATCGTGCCACTGCACTCCAGCCTGGGCAACAGAGGGAGACTCTGCCTCAAAAAAAAAAAAAAAAAAAGAAATCATATAAATAACTTTGCCTATAAATGTACTGTTACCTGAAAACACTTTCTTTTTATGTTTTAATAGGCTCAGAATCTGAGGTGGTAAGTCTAGAGTTTTCATTCTTCATGTTTTTATGTACTTATATTAAATTTCAAGTAACAAATATATTTGAGACAGGACTCAGATTGAGCTGTCAGTTATATATTAAGCAATTCCATTTAAGTACTGGTTCCTCTAGGAACTGAAATAAAATCATTTTTTGATACATACAGAAGTTTCTAGTCATGAAAATTATTAGGCTATTTCAATGAATTTAATGTGTGGTGAAAACTGATTTGGTGGTCAAGATGGTTATTTATCTGTACCTTAAAACCTATCACATTGATTTAGGTCCAACAGTTGGAGTCACTTGAAGGGCTTTTTATGATAAGCTAAGACAAAAGTTAAGGAAAATTGGAAATGTTTATCCCTAATTGTAATTCAATGTAATGTTTATTGTTTTGGACATGAAGACCTTCAAGTCTTTTTCAGTTAATAAAAATTTTGGTGGAGTTGAATAGAAGCAACTTTTTTTTTTTTTTTTTTTTTTTTTTTGAGACAGAGAGTCTCGCTCTGTCGCCAGGTGCCAGTGGTGCGATCTCGGCTCACTGCAACCTCTGCCTCCCGGGTTCAAGCAGTTCTCCTGGAATAGAAGTAACTTTGAATTTTTTTTTTAAAGACAGGCCTTGTTCTGTTACACAGGCTGGAGTGGAGTAGTGCCATCATAGCTTACTGCAGCCTCAAACTCCTGGGCTCAAGCAGTCTTGCTACCTCAGGTTCCCAAGTAGTTGGGACTGTAGGCGCATACCACCCCACCAAGCCTGCTAATATATTCTATTTCTTTAAAACGCTTTTTAGGCTGGGCCCGGTGGCTCACACCTGTAATCTCAGCACTTTGGAAGGCTGAGGCTGGGCGGATTAGTTGAGGTCAGGAGTTTGAGACTAGCCTGGCCAACATAGTGAAATCCTGTCTCTCTAAAATATACAAAAATTCACCAGGCCTGGTGGTAGGTGCCTGTAATCCCAGCTACTCAGGAGGCTGAAGCAGGAGGATCCCTGGAGCCTGGGAGGCAGAGGTTGCAGTGAGCCGAGATCATGAGACTGCACTCCAGTCTGGGCAACAAAGCAAGACTCGTCCGAAAAACAAACAAAAGCAGTAAAACAATTTTTACTTATTTATTTTAATCTAATTTTTGAGTTGCTGAATCTTAGAACTGGCCATTTTATATAAGTAACATTTTGTAATCACACTTTTAGAAGTTTTCTGTTATTTAAAGTTCTGTTATTTTAGAGGAAAAAAAATCTCTTTTTTAATTGAAACCAATACAATTTTTAAATGCTGACTGTTCTAATTGTTTTGCAAAGACTAGTTGCATTTAACAATTAGAGTTGCCATGCTTTGTCTTAGGAGAGATTTCATGTAGTTATTTCATATCAAAATCACTGCAGTGTTGGGAAAATTAATAACACATGCATTTTAATACATAATTGCTAAACTGACTAAGTATTTTTCTCTTTCAACTTGACAAAATCAGTCTGCATCCCAATGGATTCATCAGTCAAAACTCAAGTGTTTCTTTTTCATAAGACAAAGAATGATAAATGCGTCTAAAGGGGGGAAAACCCTGTAGTTTAAACAAATCCTTGCCATGTGATTTTAAGTGCTTCTTTGTTTTCTAAAATTGTGTTGCAGCCTTATGTAAAACTAATTTTAAGGCTGTTTAAGGATTAGTATTTATACTTAAGTTAAATTCAAATCATTTCTAATCTTTAAAGTTGCTTCACTTGGTTTCATATCACGTTAGCTAAGGAGTCTCTTCCAGTGAGACTGATGTTACTCCGTAGGTAATAAATTAGGAGTGGGCTTAACAGAATTGTAACTTGCCCTGCCTTTAACATTTGGAGTAAATTTTTCATAGGAACATTCTTCATGAGCTGGAAGTTAATACTGCTGAGTGTAGCAGTTACAATAATGAAGAAGCAACTAGCAAGTCGTTGACTTTATTTTTACTTATTCAATAGCCTGTGTACAGCTTATATTCTCAGAACTGTAACAGAAAGAAACACAAGCCATTGATTTGGAGCTTTGCATCCTTACTGAATTGCAAAGGGAGACTGAGACTCTTAAAGTTCATTTCTTTAATCAAGGTGCTTTTTGATATAATTACCTAAAATGGCTTCGAAATGTTAAAAAATAATGTATTCGTGATCATCGTGGGGAGATATAGGATGAAACTCCAAGTACCCAATAGATAAGGAACTTTGACTTGCCCTGGTAGCAGCAGCAGAGCTAGGGCACATAACCATCAAATAATAATTAAGGTGTTTGGGACATAAAAAAATCTGGCCAGACACAGTGGCTCACTCCTCTGTAATCCTAGCATTTTGGGAGGCTGAGGTGGGTGGATCACCTGAGGTCAGAAGTTTGAGACCAGCCTGGCTAACATGGTGAAAGCCTGTCTCTATGAAAAATACAGAAATTAGCCAGGCATGGTGGTGCACATCTCCCAGCTATTTGGGAGGCTGAGGCAGGAGAATGGCGTGAACCTGGGAAGCAGTGGTGGCAGTGAGTAGAGGCTGCATCACTGCACTCCAACCTGGGTGACAGAGTGAGACTGTCTGAAACAGAAAACAAAACAAAAATCCAACATCCAACTTACTATATATGTGCCAAGCACTGTGCTTGGTCCTGGGAACGTAATAGTGGTAGGACAGATAAATAGCTCTGCTCTCAGGGAGCTTTCAATCTAGTCTAATTTGAAAGTGAGAATTCCTACATTTCTAGAACTTTCAGTGCAAAAGATGCACATGGCTCACTCCTCTGTAATGCTCGCACTTTGGGAGGTTGAGGTGGACGGATCACCTGAGGTCATCTAGATCCATTCGTCTTCTCATGTGTCTAAAGACTGAAGGAAGGTATTAGATATAATGTTGTGCCTGACACAAGTAGTTAAACTTTATATAATTTTAATTCTATCTGGCTAATTGCTTCACCTTTCTGTGCTTAAGTGTTCTCATCTGTAAAACAGGAATTTAAGTGTTTATTTTATCTTTAGTATTTGGATGAAAGGAGAGTGTAAAACTCTGTTGATGGCATATAAATGTTAGCTGTTTAAAGTAAATGACGTCTTTAATATTTAATATTAGAGTAACCGCAACAGTGCTACAGACACGAGTCAGAACCCAGAAAATCATGTAAGTATTTAAGTCCACTGGAAAGGTTTGAGCATCATCTGCCCTAATGTTTTTTTCCCCCCATTAGTACAGATTATAAAAAACTGTACTATATAAAGTTGTTTCTGTGAATCAATAGCTGTTTTATTGTTTCGTTTCTCAAGGTGGAGCTCTTGTTGTTTATCAGACAAGTTTTTGTTTTGACAACAGCTTTAAGAAAATCTGCCCAGCATGGTGACCCATGCCTGTAATCCCAGCTACTTGGGAGGCTGAGGCAGGAGAATCGCTTGAACCCGGGAGGAGGAGGTTGCAGTGAGTGGAGATCGTGCCATTGCACTCTAGCCTGGGTGATAGGGTGAGACTCTCATCTCAAACAAACAAACAAACAAACAACAGCAACAAAAACTAAACAAAAGGAAAATTAGGAGTGGGCGGGCACGGTGGCTTATGCCTGTCATCCCAGCACTTTTGGAGGCTAAGGCGGGCAAATCAGAAGGTCAGAAGATTGAAATCATCCTGGCTCACATGGTGAAATCCCGTCTCTACTAAAAATATGAAAAAAGGACAGGCGCAGTGGCTCAAGCCTGTAATCCCAGCACTTTGGGAGGCCGAGGCGGGTGGATCACGAGGTCAAGAGATCGAGACCATCCTGGTCAACATGGTGAAACCCCGTCTCTACTAAAAATACAAAAAATTAGCTGGGCATGGTGGCGCGTGCCTGTAATCCCAGCTACTAGGGAGGCTGAGGCAGGAGAATTGCCTGAACCCAGGAGACGGAGGTTGCGGTGAGCCGAGATCGTGCCATTGCACTTCAGCCTGGGTAACAAGAGCGAAACTCCGTCTCAAAAAAAAAAAAAGAAAGAAAGAAAAAAAGAAAAGAAAACAAAATAAATTAGCCAGGCGTGATGGCACGAGCCTGTAGCCCCAGCTACTTGGCAGGCTGAGGCAGGAGAATTGCTTGAACCTGGGAGTCGGAGGTAGCAGCGGGGGGGGGGGGGGGGGGGGGGGGGGGGGGGGGGGGGAAGGAAAGGAAAGGGAAGGAAGGAAATTAGAAGTGTTAACTTTCTTTAAAAAAAAAAGATATGACAGGAAGGAAGGAAGGAGGGAGGGAGGGAGGGAGGGAAGGAAGGAAGGAAGGAAGAAGGGTTAACTTTTTAAAACAGGTATGACTGGTATCAAACAGAATCTCAAGTAGTGATTACACTTATGAAGAATTTTCAGAAGAATGATATAAATATGGAATTTTCAGAAAAAGAGGTCATTAGTCTTTGAATCATTTTTAATGTTGATTACTATTATTTGCAAATTAATCATATTACAGAATAATCTATAACAGTTTATCAGGTAACTGCCATTTCTTCCTGAGATGATGTAGAAAATGCTGAGTCAAATCTGAAGCCATTGCTTTGAGATAAGAAAATGTATGCTGTCGGTTATAGGGGGATGGGCGTTTTTTCTTTTGATTTCAGATTCAAAGCAGAACTTGGTTATATTTGTAAGATAATGTGATTTGATTATTCTTGTGTAATATACTTCATGAAAATGGTCTGGGTGCTTTTGTGATCACACGTTTTAGAATTGACTAACCATGTTAAATGAACATGACGTTTTTTTTTCTTTTGAGACAGTCTTGCTCTGTTGCCCAGGCTGGAGTGTAGTGGTGCCTTCTCAGCTCACTGCAACCTCCACCTCCTGGGTTGATGCAGCGCTCCTGCCTCAGCCTCCCGAATAACTGGAACTAGAGGCACACACAACCAGGCTTGGCTAATTTTTGTATTTTTGTAGAGATGGGCTTTTGCCATAT